TTTTTCTGTGATTCAATCTTTAGCAACACACCAGTCAAAGCTGACTTCTTTGTGTTATTCATTGTTGTAGGTGGTTCAGTAAATGTTTTCAGTGTGTAATGCTCTCAGTTCCAGGTGCCCTTATGTTTATTTTGTACTTTGCCATCACATATCACCCCTTAGACCTTTAGAAAAACTAAAGACAAATACTTCTTTAAATCTGGTTCATACGCACCCACCAGACACAAAGTGAGGACTGTGAGCTACCCCAGGCAGGAAGCTTGAGTCCACTGCAACACTTACAGATGGTGCTCTTCTTCTTCATATTCAACTCAGGCTTTCATTTTGCTGTACTTTAGCATGTTTTCACTGTTCACTCTTTTGCCGTCCCACTGCTCAAGTGCAAGTTATGCTGACAGTTGCTCCTACGTCTGCTGCACCACCTGCAGGCTCTGAGCCTACCTCCCCTGTCATTTGTGGCAAGGTCAGAGACAGGCGGCAGGCATCAGCACTGTCTTTTCCTCTTGAGTTGGCTCACTGAAACGCAGCAGTGAAAAACATGTTTTTAGTGTTCATTCTTCTGATGAACGGAGGTGTCCTCTGGGGAAGTGGTGCACACACACAGTGTGCAGCTTCTTAAAGAATAAGGCTGGTGCCTTTCTTTCTTTTTCTGATTGTCAACATACCCTGTGAAAAGACTAAAACCAACTTTGTGTTGACCGGCCCCTCAGTATTTTCTGATTTCTCTAGCCTCTCTATGGCAATCAGCCTTTAGCCCAGTGGTTCCTACCAAAATATAGCCTGTGAGTCATCTTTGGCACTGACAACATAGAAACAGTAGTGTTACGAGGCCAGTGTGTGATATTTGGGTGGGTTTGGGTATAGATGGTGTAATGTATGTGCTATTTATTTATAGTCTAAATCTCCAAAATTTAGAGGAGGCCACCCTACTTCCAGTACTTCAGGGCAATATTTTCAAGTGTAATATCAACGTTATTGCGACAGCACTGTGCTACCGCAGCATTTTAGTGTTAAAACGTGACATTTTTATGGCCAGTGATGGCTCACCAGCCATAATTTTCTATTTGTGCACCTGAGAAGCACTGTTAAACCCCTACATGTGGTGATTTTCTTTAATGTTTCAGCAGCAGAGTGGAAAGATGTGCATCTTTTATGATATTATAATGATAACTCTTCTTGTAATGTAGAAAAAAAAAGTTAGGCTTTCTCTCTCTCTCTTCAGGCCTGGGATATGAGTGTAAAGAATCCATAATTTGATTTATGTTGCCTCCAGTGGGACTCGAAAGGATCTGCTTCACTGAGTTAGGAAAAAGAAGTCAGGGCAGAGGAGAGGTGAGGAGAAAATCATGTGATGTATGAGTTGGCCCAGATCATAAAAGGACTGCTGTCCAACAATTTATTAAATCTGGAATGGAATGTGTTTTTGGTGCAGAGCAGGTGCTACTTGTACCAGTGAATGTGAAGAGGAGGCTAACACAACTTGTTAACCTTTAATAACGAACTGTCACCACACAAGATGTGAGATCTCATATTGAATGGAGATTTGAAAATTGCATTTA